GGATCTCCTCAGCCCTAAAGCTCTTTGACCACATACTGAAACAAACCCATTACTAAAGCCACATCTCCTTTCTCAGTACCTGCCTACATAATCGGCTCATCCCCAATGGACTCCGAACAACGTTCAGACCACCCCAGTTTGGCCCCAACCGCGGCAACTGTTATCTACAATACATCCAGGGCTTCCAAAAATGGTTTTCTCTGCAGATCCTCAGCTCCACACTCGCAGCCATGCGCCGGCATCTTCTGGCAGTAGATTCAACCATATCCCAGCTCAGAGCCTCTCTCTACCAGACCTGCAAGGGACCTCTCCGTTTTTCATTCTGCGCAGGATCTACACCCTCAACCAACACTTTTTCTCCACCCTATCAGATGTCAAGGATCGTAAGTACACCAAACTTACTTGTGCCTTCCTCCAAACACAGACCTTCTCCACCACCCCAGACCCCAACCCTATCCAGGACCTCTCTTAATTTGTCCGGTGCCATTAACCATGCGGTCGCCTCAGAGTCCTGATGAAAGGTCTGGGCCTGAAACGTCAACTCTCCTGCTCCTCTGCTGCCTGACCTGCTGTGTTCTGCCAGCTCCACACTGTATTGATTCTGACTCCAGCATCTGCAATTCTTGCTTTCTCCATGAACATACATTGCATGGTTAAAAAGTTGCAGATATGGCTTCCATCATCTTCTTCCACATCTTTTTCATAAAAAACATAGTCTCTAAAACGGTTGAGTTATATTCCTGCTTCTTCTCGAAAGACTTGATAATCTCAGAGATCAGGTACAATCAATAGTTCAATTTTGGATTCCTCAACAAAATCAGTGACAGCTATTCGTTGGTTCATTTCTCAGAGCCATGCTCTCACCAGAGTCGTCTTCTTGGTTTACTACTCAAACAAAATATAAAGTCACCATAGTCCCAGAGGACCACTGGGCTGCTCTTTCACTGGAGAGACACAACTGATGGTGGCTTAACCTGAGTTTCACCATATCTCAGGTAAGGGCAGGTGTTGAAAAGATGGGACCTTCATGGTAACCTCAGCCTGACAGTTAACTTTCAAATCAGCATTAATGGATGCATTTGCTAAAAAGATTATTTGACCAGATTCCAATTGCCAACCAATCAACATTCTTCTCTCATGCAGTATAACTGTTTAACTTTTATTCTTACAAATTTTCTGTAGCGTGCAAGACAAGAAACGTCAATTTTTTAAGCAATACTCAAATCTTAATTTATTCACACCTCACAATAGCCTGACCTTATACAATAAAAGGTATTGAAAAATGTTCAGATTTAACTCTAAAAAAACTCTAATCATTTTCTGTATGCTGTCTTCAGCTAAATGCTACACAGTTCATCATATCACCAATGCAGTCAAACATGTTTTCTGTTTCTTTATGTAGCAGTGTAAAATTCTGGAATATTTCCACAGCCTTAATTATTTCAGCTAGAGAAATAATACAGGTGAGCAGCAGGCACTCATCAGCCTCCTGAGTTTAAGAACATATTGCATCTATAATTGCCTCATCTGTTGGTTATGGTCTGCAGTGAAGTATTATCCACATCAGCGCAAGTTTCCACTGTAGTCTCCCCCAGATATTTCCATGTCAGCTTCCCGTGGGTGAGCAACATTAGGTTAGTCATCACATTGATTGGCCTCACCATGCTCCTCCTCATTCTTGGCATCTTGCACATGTTTAGTTCACTTGAACATAGCATGGCTAAGAAGTTGGAGATATGGCTTCCGTCATCATCAAAAACATGGCCTCTAAAACAGTTGGGGTATACTCCTGCTTTTTCCTCGATAGCTTTGATAATCTCAAAGATCAGGTACAATCGGTAGTTTGATTTTGAATTCCTAAATCACTCACTGATCCATTGGTCAGAGCTTGGCCATGATACTGGGAGGGAGCAAATGTTGCTTGAGGGTTGCAATACTGGTGTGCAAGGGGCTGTTGTCTTTAATGATTATATTCTTCCTTTACATCCATTGATACATTTTGTCCATTTTCCTAATCCATGCCTCAAAAATTCTGGATGTCTTCCAGGTGATTTTGTTAGCCCTGTATCGTGTGTGGAGTTCTTGACACTCAAAGTAACATGGCTTCTTGCACTTTCTTATCACAAACAGGAGCAGCTGTTTCAGTCCATCCACATTGGTACAAACCATTAAAGTGATACAGTCTATGCTTCACTTTCCACATTTACATATATCTTCTTTAAACATAAAGAATAATTTGGTTAAAAAATAGAGTAAAACATTCTGATTTCATCCACATTATAAATGTTTCTTGATGCATATTCATTCAGAACCTGGGCAAGACTGTTTTGCAGCCAATCATCTGTCATTGTCGCTGTGACTGACAGCTTGCACTACTCACTGCTTGTAAAGGATTTCTTGTTTTGTTTTGAATTGATCCAGCTATCCATTGCTGCAGGTGAGTTTCTTGTGGCCTATCTTTTATGCCAGGATAAGTCCCGTTTGCAAGATAGTACCAGAGATGGGAACTTTCTCTGCTCCTGCAGCCTTGAATCACATTAGCAAAGCTTCTTCATCAGGATTGACAGCTTTTCTCATCATTTTTCTTGCTTGAGAGAATGCCCACTTACCTAACCATGACTCATTTTATTTTCACCATAGTCAAGCACTGTCTGTGCCAGTAAGATTGCTTTGCTTTGCAGCACTGACGAGCACTTTTAGTATCTGGTATCTAGCCTAATAAGTGAATTGGTTTCTCAACTAATCAGATAATTTAAAAAATCGTCTATACATTCAACTTGATATTCAAGTCGTCTACTAAACCTTAATCTTTCAAGAATTTTATTAGCCCTAAGATTGAAATCATTGTCAAAGGCTTTTAGTACCTCTTCAAAAATATCTATTGCTGCTTTTACCCCCACGTGAACTATAATATCATTGGTTACACAACAATTATGCATACAAGTGTATTTATTTGTTCAGCTTCAGAATTACTATGGAATTTGAAAGCTTTTCTGTGTTTCCATGTGTTTTCTCTCAGATGCCCACGTTGAAATTAAGTTTTCCTGGCACTATTATTTATGACGACATAACTTATTAATGTGATTATGTATTTTGCCTGCTTTAAAAAAAAACTTTTATTTCACAGTAATACCAGTTCTGCTGCTCTTTGCTGCTGTACTGGATGTCTTTCCTGCATTTTGTGGCTGCAAGAGTAGATTCCTGCCTTCTCACGGTTGAAGTGGAGAATCTCTGCCATTTTCACAACTTCACTGTACAGACCCCACTGTGTGATTTTAATAAGAAAATCCCTTTTTAACAAACAATTCCCACTCCTCACCATTTAAACAAATGGTTCTTGTCTTTATCGGAGCTCTTATGATGGATTCCTGACCTTGTCTATGGACTGAGTAAAGTCTCTCAAACTTTCTTTTCCTGTTACACCAGGTCTGCTTAATCTTTTAAGCTGCTCAATGCTATTACTTTGGTTACTCACGTTGCAATATGCCCAAGTCTACAAACTTGGATTAATATTTCTTTCGTGGCACTTTGCTCCATTTCTGTTGTCGTGAATCGTGATGCAGATTTGCTGCAATGCTCAATCTAAATTTTAACTTTTTAATTTCTTGCATTTCCCGCTTGGATTGGTGCACCTTTTTACAGCTCCCCTGGCCCAACTGGGATTTAAGCTTTACTCAAGAAGCGTTCAATGTCTGTTTGCTCATCACTAAATTGTGACTCAGGACCACACCCACAGACCACTGCCTTGATTTGTAGTTAATAATTATGGAGTTTGTAATTTTGAAGTTACAAATTCTCATTCTCCAGAGATTAGTGCCTTTCCACTTGAACATCTATCTCACCAGGTGTGAAATGATTTTACAATTCAGTGGAGTATACTTCCTTGTTTAGGATTGCCACAAGGTTTTCTTCTATAACCTTCTTAAATCTTTAGCTCTTCTCTTCTACTGTGATTATGAGCACAGAACTTAAAGCTCAGTCTGAAGATCTCACTGTGCTGTTCTCCAGGTACCATGAGTCAGATCAAATCCACACCATTGACTACCACACTGTATGGACATGGCAATTTTCTATGCCATATGAGCTACCGTTCATGTTGAAGGTTACTGAATCATCTCTGTGAACTATATAAAACTGTGGGATCTCGTGTGGTACAGGAAAATCACTTACTAGTCTAACTAGAAGAGTCTCTTGTAGCTTATTGCACATGGGCAACTATAGGTTGAATTGATATGATAGACTTTGTTACAGTCTTTGGGGAGGACCAATCTCACCCCTTCAAGATCCTAAGCTATTCTGCCCAGAAATCCATCTGACTTCACCACTGTGGGTGACGATTATGCCACCCTTCAGTATTAATCCTTTTACACCCATATTCAGCACAGTTAAATGCTCAATTGTTTGGTAAACAAAGCAGATATCTGGTTGCTCCCAATGAGGCAATTACTACTTTTTGAAGAGAATTTCTGAATGCATTGGCAAAGAGTCAAATCACTGAATGACAATATTTAGACTGCAGTCCAAATATGCAGATGCACTGATAATACTAGACATGATGTACCTTCATCATATACATAACTGGCTTCTTCAGGTGGAAAGGCAAAGAAAATTTTATCAGTCCACAGTAAGTGAGTGTCATTAATAAGTAATTTAAACACCAGTTTGGGAACATAAAGTTCACTAGATCTACCCCATGAATTAATAACATTAGTATGTATTACATAATACATTTACTAAACAAACACAAGTTTCCCATACATATGGTGCATCGCACCATGTATAAGTGTCAGTTGATGAAATATAAACCATTTATAGCACTACATGTTACCTGCAAAATTCAGGCCATGAGTTATGACTTTCCATACTATATATATGCAAAGTCTCTCAGTTCTCTATTTTCCAAATTAAGACTCAATGCAAAATAAATCCAAGCCAAAATGTAATTTTTACAGTAGTTTTAAGGCAAGCAGGCAGAGTAAATAAATTGAAGATTCACCTACCTGTAGAAAATGCTGCCCAGGGGATGGCTGGTGAGACTGACTGTGTTCCCATTTCACCATCTTCAAAGCTCTCTGCTGCCTAAGCATATTTTTTTTTTACAAAAAACACAGTTCAATTAATTCCCAAAAATATTTTAAAAAGAATGACGAATCATCAGAATTTATTCAGAATAAAACTGAAAGATGAGAAAGTGCTGAGTTGAAGGTAGCTTGGGGCTGACTTGGAACCCATTTCATAAAATGTGAAGCTGAATGCAGTTAGGCATTTAACAGATTCTGAAGTCAAATTTTGATGCAATATCTAAGTTTTGAACACAGTTGCTCATTATGAAATAATTCTCTTTCCCCTCCTACCCAGTGCAAAATAAGTTTTTAAACTACACTACAATAGTTGTCAGAGAAACGTCTTATTCTCCCATATGAATAGACCGCAAATAAAACAACAGCACCAAGAGTAATTTAAAATTCACACATCTACAAAAATGTTCTCGTGCCATAATGCTCTCAAGGCACAGAGTCAAAGCTATGAAAACATTGTGTGCTGTGCTGAATAAAAATAATGCCTCCCTGGATGGCTCAGTAAGTACACTTACTGTTGCACTGAGCCACACTAACCAGCTAAGATCACAGTTACAATCTGCAGCCTCTGCTGTGGTAGGGGATCTGTGCTGGATTGGCTACTACAATTGGCCTATTTCTCAAAGTTTGGAAGAGAACAGAAGGAAAGAAAATAGTGAAGATTTCTGAGCAAAGTAACTCAATTATAATGGTCATTATTTACTTCTACTAAAAAATCTCTTATTTTGCTACGATAATTTGCTTTTCCAAAACTGAATATGAGCACTTTCAATGTGAACAATCTAGTCAATAAATGTCAGTTTCAGTTAAGTTAAGGAGAATCTATTCAGAGATTAACTCGAATCAATTTATATCTGCTCAAGGAAGCTGTCGCTCTTGTTTTGGGACCTCAACAGGCTAATTGCTCAAAAGATGACATGAGTTTCAACTCATTTGGCCAGGTCACTACAGGGCTCTTTCCATAAAACCCAAGTGGTACACTTCAAGATCTTCATATTCCAATATGAGATCCTACAGTACACAGAGGGGGATGGTGAGAAAGACTTTTATATATATATACACATTATCAGATGATACAGTTTGCTTTGGTACAAAACTCTTTTTTCAGTGTACTGTATGAATCCCAACCAGACTGATGGAACGAACGTTCTTCTCTCTGATATCTGCAAGAATTTTCACCTGAAAATAATTTGAGTAGTTATTCACTTGCTATGCTTTAAAATTGTTTACCAGCTAGGGATTTTACAAAGCAGCTAATGTTTTCCAGGAGAAAAAAAGTCCTGCTGGTGTACTAAGTGATGGGATCTAACCACATCACTATGGCAGCAGAAGAAAGGGATTTCAAGAAATGCTGCTTCTAAGTTGCAGTCAGCTAATGACAAGAATGTGGCCCATTCCATACTAAAGACTTCCTTTTATTTAGTAAGCACATTAAAAAAAATCAGATCAAGATTAATTAAAAGCATTTACCATAAAACACAGCATCCAGAGCCCCTTCTTATTTGAAAGGAAAGCCTACATGCAAAAAAAAAACACTTGGTCCCCTCCACAAACAGCTCCAGAAGGAATTACTATTCACCTTGTCTTGGTAGTTAGCAAGAATGAGGTCCTTTACAGCAAATGTGAAAGCAATTCTGTGTATGAGGTTCTTCTGGGAACTGCAGTAAGACTGCCAAAATCCATTTCATACCTTCATTGCCTTAAGCTAACTGAGATTTTTTTACTCCCATCTGTCTGGGCCAAATTCAAAATATGATTCCAAAAGCAAACCACACTATTTCACCACAATGTACCACCCATCACTTGAATGGTACATGTCCAATATTTAACCAAACAAAAAGACAAGAATCTGAAGCCAAGCATAAACTTATTTTGCACAGTTCAATACATACCTCAAATCCTCCAAACTCATCATCATCCATCTTTCACTGCGCACCTACAAAGATCAAATACGTATGCAATTATAATATCCCATAATATTCATTCAAACAATACATCTGTCAAGAAACATTTTCATCATAGCTTCAAAGAATTGTATGCATTTTCACTACAGTATAGGAAAATTTAACAAATCACTGAAGCAGGATACCACAAATATCCCCATGGTCAATGAAAGAGCCCAACACATCACTGCAAAAGATAAAGTTGAAGTATTTGCAGCAATCTAACACAACATAACAACAGATCAATACAACACAAGAAGCCAAAGAAATGCTCTTTATCCTAGACAGCGACATACAGATTTGCTGTATGGGGCTCAAATGACATTGACTAGAGCGTCAGCGAATGCATTTTCAATTGATCTTTTTCCATGTGGTTGGTGGACATACATGGTGGTACAATTAATACAACATTGCATCCATATACCTAATGTGAACATCCACATAAGTCGTCTTTTGCTCATTGAATCATGACAACTTCCAACTTTATACATATCATGCCTACACATCAACATAATTATCCCTATAATTAACAGTTTATTGATATGTGATAACTAAAGATGATTAACAAATGACTTATACAATTGAACTAATCACCTCTTGAGTTCATTATAACTTATTTAGCATTCTTTACTCAAAAGATTACTCATGGCATTACTTAGGTTGTAGCACATTGTAGAGTTGGCATTCATTGCACTCATTGATGGGGTGACATGCTGCACAGGGGATATTGTGGTTGCTGCACTTGTTGTAGGAATTGTGCCTGATGTTGCCAATATTGTGACATTTGTTTCTGATGCTGTCAATGTTGCACCGTTGTTGGTGATGTTGTCAATGTTGTTGCTGATCATTTTTGATTTTCCAACTCCAGTGTAGATCTGTTATAAATTCTGTTCATTCTCAATTGTTTATTTGTTTTGGCCTCTATGACATATTATCTTTTAAGTCTTGGCTTCAACAACTATTACTAGGTTTCACATTTTCATGATTTTTCATGCAGCGTTTGTGTTTTCAACAAATCAGTCAGGGTTCGGTAAACTTGTAGAAGTGCTGACTTTTTATTACCTGTGCATTAGTGAGTTATCATCTTACTTCGTCGTGGTCACTTGAAGGAAGTACCTTCCTTTCTAAGAGTATTTACTCTTAGAAGAGTAAGAGCTAATAAAAGGTACATATTCCTACAATGCGACTGAAAGCTGATAAATATCCTGGATCTGATGACCTACAGTCTAGAATTTTGAAAAGAGGAAGCTGTACAGATAGCAGATCCATGAGTTGTCATTTTCCATAATTCTACAGATTCTGGAATTGTGCCTACACATTGAAAGGTAGCAGATGTAACTCTACAATTGGAGAAAAGAGGGAGAGAGAAAATGTTGAACTACAGGCTTTTTAGCCTGACATTATTATTAGTAGTAGTAGTAGTTAAGATGCCTGAATCTATTATAAAGGATGCGATAATAGAACACTTATAAAATAATGGTTGGAGTTGGTACAATCAAAAATAACAAAACATTAGGTAGAGATAGTAGGAATTGCAGATGCTGGAGAATCTGAGATAACAAGGTGTAGAGAGCTGGATGAACACAGCAGGCCAAGCAGCATCAGAGGAGCAGGAAAGGTGACGTTTTGGG